GAAGCCTTTCATCTGATCATTGAGAGTGCCATCAAAGGCGATCTCTAAAATAGCGTTTCCTACCGGTATCAGATAGTCAAACTCCAAAACCAGGATCTCATCCTCCTCAACCAGAGTGATATTCGAAGGACTAACCCCCTGCGACACATCGGCATAATCACTTAGCATTTCCTCAAGCCAAACGACTGCTAATTGAAAAAAGGAGAGAGAGCTAAGGAGACAATAGAAGTCTAGAAAGAGAGAGAGGGAGGGCAATGGAGTATGACCTGTTGAGAGGGAGAGGCGTAGAAAGAGGCATGGCGGATGAGCAGGTCTGCAGCGTTAAGAACGATATATTTGGTTTTCTCCACAATATCGAGAGTGATTCGAACCTCGCCGCTGAATTTACAGGTGACGAGGTCGGGTTTAAGGGTGAGATCGTAGCGCTTAGGTACTGCGAATTTGGGGAGCCTTGCTAGCCCTCTGAACTCGTCCATTCTCAACAGCCAATCGATCGCCCCTGTGATGTGCTCATGCGATATTTTATATTGTTGACGGGTAGTGATCTCATAGAGCGTTGTATCACCGTACAATGCAAGAATGTTCAAAAATTAAAATATTTTTTTAGTCTAATTAATATAAGCTATTTATTTTAATAAGATACTTAGATCTAGTTCTTAGAAAAAAATTTTCTTTTCTAATATTTTTAGATGGATTTATTATAATTAGATGAAAAGCGTTAAAGAAGAAAAAAATGATTTCAAGTTCGTAAAGGCTATGATATTGAAATTCATCAAATGAATGGCCTAGATTTGTTGTTGGAAGTGGACTCATTTTGACCATGTCTAGGGTTCAAATCGAACTTTTGTTTTTTGATATTCATTATTGAGATGAAGAGAATGTGTGTGCAAAATTTTGGGTCATATAAATACCACAAACATAGTTTTTAAACAGTGTAGTTGCATGATACTATGATACAACCGTTGCATGAAATCACTGCCTTGAGTGGTTATCTTTTAAGCTCTCATGAAATAATGACAATCCCAGATATCGTACTGGTAGGGAACCCTCACTAAATCCTTCAAATTAATGTGTTTGTCCTCATGTGTTACCCTAAAGAAGAAAGCCTTACTCTTGGCTACATTAAATTGCTAACATGTAGCCCTTTCAAAATTACTCAATACATAATGCATAGCCCTAGCAGTATTATATGAAGCTTCACAAAAAATTTTGTTATCTGCATAGAAAAGATGTTACACACCATAATCACAACTTGATGGGAAGGTTGAAAGAATCATACCTTCCATTATACCGTGTTACAACTGTCTGTTCAAGAAATTCATGACCAAAAAAAGATTTTGGAGACAATGGGTCTCCATAAGGTTATATTTTTCCTTTTAAAATAATAAGTTCTTTCCTTTTGTATGACCATTTAGTGATAGTTTTCCTCTCTCATTACTTGCAAAATCTGGAGTGCCCAGGTATAAAGACTAGCTTGGTGGAAAAGATTATTGGCAAGATTGGAACTTGTCAAGCCCTATCTCTCTCTTATGTAGGCCGCTTACAACTATTAAAATCTGTTATTGGCTCTTCAATGTTTTTTGGATCCCGTCTTTTATCCAACCCAAGCCCACATGTAATACAATTGGGAGGTTGCAATCAAATTTTCTATAAGCCCGTTCAATTGGGAAAAAACGCATTCACCTAGTGAAATGAAAGAATATTTGTCTTACTACTTCACAGGGGGGACTTGGTATCCGTGAGACATCAGAATTCAATATTGCTGGCATGATGAAATTAGCTTGGAGAGTAGTCGCTAACCCTTCTTCCCTCATATTACATTTTTTAAAGCACATATATTTTAAGGACACAATTAATAGTTGACTCGGAGGATGAATTGTTCTTATGCGCAGAAGGACATCCAACTAGGGTTATCCTGTCTCCATCATAATGTTAGATGGATCATTGAGGATGGTCGTTTGGTGGATTTCTGGACAAACCTGTGGCTATCCAACCAATTTATATGGGAATCTTATGGAGATCAGATACATAAGGATATATGGGTTCTTCTATTGCAAGGGTCGCCTAAGGTATGGATTTTCCCTACTCTTACGTCTGACCCCTTATCCAAGCTTGGAGAGAGATTGCTACCTTTACACTTCCCTTACACCCCTGGAGTGACTTCTTGATATGGTTCCATTTTGCCAATGGTTTGTTCTCCGCCAAAGGTGCATGGAATCATATTCGAAATCGGGGCACCCCTCAACCAGTTTTCGGCCCTATATGGGCTTCCTATTTCCATCCCAGAGCAAACACGTTTTCTTCGTTGGCTCTCTATCAACGCCTCCCTACCACCTCTCTATTACAACTGAGAGGAATCACCACGGCACAAGTATGCCCCTTTTGCCAATCAAATGATGAAGACGTCTGTCACCTATTATTTCAATGGTTGTCCTCATAGGGTATTTGGAAATCCTTTGTATGGAGGTGTGGTAAACGATTTCATGGCTTAATCCAATCCATTGCATCTATATTAAGAACTTCGATTTCTTATACGTTCAAATCAATGGGTCTCCTTAATGTCTGGCATTCCATCTTCTTCATAACTATTTGGATGCTTTGGGACGAGTGTAACCATCATGTCTTTGAAGTGAAGGTTTCTAAGAGAGAACAACTTGTCAAGAGGATTATATTGCATGTTACAGAGATGGAAAATGCTGAGGCTTGATCTTTTCATATATCTGAAAAAGCCACAATATATAATCTTCGCATCACTTGGGGGCAAGTGATGATGAAATCTTTTATCCCAATTGCATGGTCATTTCCTCGCCCAGGCTATTTCAAACTTAATGTTGATGGAGCTTCTTAACAGAACCCAGGAAGGACAGGTGGAGATGGGATCATTAAAGGTGAAATGGTTCTTTTATTGTTGCATTTGCACAACCCCTTGGAGTTGCATAGAATAATTATGCTGAATTTCATGCTTTGCAAGTTGGAGTGGATCTCGCCATCAAGTTAGATTGCTTTCCTCTACAAATTGAAAGTGATTCATTTCTACTTGTCAACGGTACTCGAGATATATACAAGGCCTGATGGCGTATTCCCATTGTTGTTGCCAATTGCAGACAAATACTTATTTTACATGGGTGATATATTTCACATATCTATCGTGAAGCTAATACAGTAATACACTCACTAAAGAAGCTACATTTTCTTGATGCCACTATCTGGCGCACTAGACCTGCCTGATTGTATTTCCCTTCTTTTACTCCATGATGTTGCGCAATTGCATCGAAGGGTTGTAAATTTATGAGATATATTTTTTTGTTAATATTTAATGAAAAACGGATAGGGGTCCTTCTCCCCCACTAACTTGCCAAAAAAAAAAAAACATTATAGTCCCTGCACATGAAATATCATAGGTATTGTATACAATGAGACCATTTACCTATTATACAAGGAGTTCACTATTACTTATAACCATTTAATGAGAAATTTGATAGCTTGGATGTATTATAAAGTTTGCGAAAATTTCCTTCGAAAATTGAGCTTGCTCATTGGAATAAATGTGGCCACCCAATTTCACATCCAATCGTCAAGATTCATAAGGACCACCTTATACACAAAAAGTAAATGGTCTCATTGTATATTTTTCCAATATAATATCTCAAAGAGGAATATAGGTAATTCACTCACAAATTGCACAAGGGAAAAGTAAAACGAATCATTGTGGATAACATTTGAATCACTTGGTTTTATTTTAAAAATAAACTAAACCATGCAATATCCCAAGAAGGCTATTTCTAATGCGCGAAAAAAAAGATAAAGAAGGGCTAGTTCTCTTAAAATGATAATATTTTCATTAGATAGATCCATGGGTCTAAATTGTTCGGCTGGACTTTGGGCCATAAAACCAAGTTAGGGTACTGGTATAAGATAGGGTCTACTCTTAAGTCATTTTAAATTGACCCAAAGTATAACTAGAAAAAGAAAGATTTTTTTTTTTGACAAATAGAAAAAGAAAGGTTTTGAATGCAAAATTCCTCGCACACATCAAATGGGCGGTCCAAATTAAATATTCGAGAGGATGTCATTTGATTCTTGAGCTCTAAATCCAATTCCTTTGTTGTTTAATTGATCTTAGAGTACAATAAACATGGGTGAGTTCCAGTGCTACTGAATCACTCCCAAGGAGAAATTTGACCCACAGATTCCAAATGAACAGTTAGGACCCGTGAATAGCATTAAGTCATAGGCATGTTTGGTGCAGGTGCTGATTGATTGCAATAGTACGTCACAAGTTTGAATCTTATGGGCCAACTCCCATAAAAAAGAGCAAGAAAAAGGAAATTTGGATCGTCAAATCCAATATTCCTTTTGTTATTTCAAGTTGTGATACCTCTATTATAACAACTTTAGAAATACTTCATCATGATTTTCATAATTTTTGTTTGAATAGCTTCAACAAAGTAGTGTCCAGGGTCTCAGGAGTCCCACTTTTATATTTTGTTTCTTGAGCTATCGATTAACCTTAGGAGTTTTATCATTATTTTGTATTTTGTAAATTATTATTTTTATGTTAAATTAAAGTGGACATCCAAACCGGCCTTCATTTACCTTCAGACCTGCAAACTTTTTTCTTTTTTTTTTTTTAGTAGGTGCTCAACAAACTCAAGAAGTCAAAAGTTGTAAGCCTTTATTCTCTACTTTTTTTCAGCATCTAAATGATCCATATCAAATTGTTCTCTGTGAAATATCTTCCCAAGAAACCTTGTTTATGCTGTAGCGTCACATGGTCAAATCATCTCATACATTGTTAAATGCGGAAACGGAAGGTGGCGAATAAAGATGATGAGTAATCCGGTTCTTACTGGGTAACCTTAACCTTTTCTTAATATTCTAAATCTGGATAGGTTACCTTTTTGTACGGTAGACTGGATTCGAAGGCAAAGCAAACACGAGCATCGTGTTCCTTGCTTCGCATGAAAGTAACCATGTATTAATTACTTAAATTTGTGGGTGATTCGCAAGTTGGAGTGGCATGGACACGACCAAAGGATTCGACGGGTAGACCCAACCTTGGGTCTGGGTATGCGTCCAAGTTTTGGACCCGACGGTTTGGGTCCGAGTCCAAAACTTGGACCCAAACACTATTGGAGTTTGGGTTTGGGTCCAACCGAACCTAACCTGTACCCGAACCATATCCGTTTGGGTATATTAATACTAGAACTCGTAGTCATCTTTAACTATTACATGACAAATCAAACATCTTGAAATCTAACGGCAGGTGACTATGATCTTATTGTCAATAATAAGGGTATATAATGGTTAAAAAAAAAGCAAAAAAAAGAAAAAGAAGCTCTTCGTCATAGGGTGGCTAAGGATCCAACCAGACTCGAGACCCAATGAAAACATGTATAGGTCCAACTTTTAGACTTGATGTGTTGGGTCCAAGTCTAAAACTTGGACCAGAATACTATTCAGGTCTGGGTCCAGCCGGACCCGACCCATACCCAACCCATTGC